TTGTAGGTGTTCAGAATGGTTTGATCCCTATCCAGCTGAATTCCTGAGAGGAGACGAAATCCAGGTCTCCTACTCCTCCGCCATCTTGCTCCGCCCCCCCCTTTCTTATCTTATCCCTGCGAAGGCTTGGGGTCACTGTGAGTCCTTTATCACAGCTGGGCAGAGTTTAGTCAGCTCTTCTCTCTGCAGGACTTGGAGAGTGCCATTTTTTAACTTTTCCCAAATCCATTTCACTGCTACACAATCAGTTTTGTAAAGTTTTTAGTAACTTTTACATTTTTTTTTCTCTGTTTCATTTGGAAAGGATTTTGCATAAACCACTGGCTTCTTGCAGAAGATCTTTAGTTATGCATCTTTCACTTGAAATATGTATCCCTCATGGACTCTTAATTTTGTGTCTCTGATTCATCATACGACAAAATTAAATTGAGAATTCCCTTTACATCACTGCATGCAAAAAGTCGCAGGATATAAAAATGCTAGAGAAGGCAGGACACTGGGGGTGCAGAAGGATTGACTGCAGCTAGTGTGAAATCAGGGAAGAGGGGAAAAAGTGCTGAGAAAATGCAGGTAAGGCTCCATATCTCCCAGTGCTCCATAGGATTCCTGCAGGATGAGGCAGACAATTTCCTCAACCCACATTTTTTTATTCCTACCAAATTCCATTTTTATTTCTACAAAAGGAACTTCCCACCTTCCCCAAAGCATCATTGCAAGGCAGTTGAGGCTGAAAAGGCTCTGATGAGCTAGATGAGGTGTGGAGATGTAAGAAGGACCATTTTTGGGTAACATCATAACCATCATTTTATAAAACTTACATGGGTGAAACAAACAAAAACTTACATGGGTGTCTTTGAGTGTTTGAGATCAAGATATGTTTTGTGCATTGAAGAAGAGTTAATTGGAGCTGAAGAAGTAGTTTATAGACCTTCTACTTGACTCTTCAGCAATCACACACAGATATTGTGAACGTTTTGGAAAGTAGGTTTAGAAAAACCGTGAGTGGGTTACATATTGGTATGGGGCCCATGGAAAGCAAAGGATGAAGAGACAAAGCAAAATCAGGATGACCAAACCAGAAATAGACACAAAAATGAATGGGCTGGAGTTTTTTCTATTTATCATAACTAAGGGTTTTGTGTATTTCTGATGATAAGGGATACAGATGATATAATTACCCTGAGTAATATGTGTAGTTTGAGATATATATCACATTTGGTAAACTGTTTACAATTTTCATTCCATTCCATTAGGTGGATTCAATCTCTCTTGTTAGATTTTCTGATAGCATAAATATGCACCCAGTATTGCACAGGACATATTTACACTAAAAAACATTTTTTTTAAACTTACCTGAAATTCACAGTTAACTGGGTGTTCTGTGTTTTTATTTGTTAAATTTGGCAAATAGTGTTCTATTTTAAAGATGGAGGACTTTCCTACTTTTCAGTACCTAAATGAAACTGGTGTCAAACTCACCAATTCTAGGCTATGGAAGCCTCAAGGCGTCTTCCAAATTTTTGGCAAATTTATAGAGAACTTGCATTTGCAGCTCTCTTGAAGTCTGTGTTTCTGCACTCTTGCATACTCTGTCTGTCTCACAGCCCCTCAAACTGCAATGGCACCCAGCCCTTACTTTAGTTTTCGTGAACAGCCCCTGCACACACTGCCACACACGCATACCAAGAATTTAGTGGTTTGTGATTTTGTGCATCATTGTGAGAGGCAGTAACACCACCAAGCCTGGCTTTCCTCCCTTCTTTTATCTGCTGTACTCAAATCCCTTCTTCCGAGCAGCCCTCGAATAGCCACATGCTTCACTGAAACTTTGGTGTCAGCTTTTCCTTAGACCCGGATGGTGGAAATTGGGAAGAGAGAAGCGCCTACCGTTTACTCTGAAGAATCAAAACATTTTTCCCAAGAGAGGTAGATTTCTCCTGAGGAAGAATTCTGGTACCAACTGTGAAAGTAATGCATTTTCTCCATTTATTACTTATTTATTATAAGCATCAAAGCAAGTCTACAAGAGAAGTTGGGTTCAGTATATGTTACGTTGGAAAAATCAGTGTGAATTCATGTCCTTAAAAGACTTATTTTCCAGCTCTATCATTATCAGAAATGCCATAACAACAGGAGCACTACTCTAATTCATTACCAACCCCCATGTTCACCCTTAGCACACAAATTCTGTTCCCTAGAGGGTAGTTGCCTCTAAGTTTAGTACAAAGACAAAATGAGATGGATCCATAGTAATCTGTTAACCAGAAATCAAAGCTGCCTCTTGAAACATCAGGGGTAGCGCTTCAATGATAAAAGAGCCAGCAAATAATAATAAGAGTAATAACACTAATGGTTAAATTGGAACAAGGGAAGCCTGCAAAAAGCCGTACGTTCACAGTCATACTCAAGAGAGAAAACAAAGCGTGCAAAGAGGTATTTCTAATACAACAAAAGAATTATTCCGATAGGATATTTATATCTTTATTGATTTAAATAAGTAGGAAGGTATTGACATATGACATTTTATTCTCTTTGTTTAGCATGTGCTTCCATATGTCTAGCACATATACTCTTGTGTAACAAAGAGGAATTAAAATATATGAATGAACCAGTATGAAAAAGGATTTCCACACAATGAGGTAGACTTTTTTCTTAATATAGAAATGACCAGAAGAGGGGGACATACTAAATGCTAAAGGACTTACTAGAATTAATGGCCTTATATAATAATGACTCACAGGTTATTAAAGTTGATTACAACTATGGCATACGGACATACACAATGACCATTATAAAACAGGATGTCCCAAAATTATAAATGATCCAACTCTTCTGAGAAATGTAGAGATTCAATCCCTCATCTCCTAGGAGGTGAAGCCTCTACTCATTATGAATAAACCCCTATGAATTTTAATAAAATACTAATAAGGAATACACATATTTTCATAATTGAAACAAACCAGCTCAATGTATCATAATGTCAAGGCATTGGCATAAGGACTTCCAGCTGTGAGAAAGGAAAGATAAGTTTTCAAAAATTAAAATTTATGTTAAAGACAGGGATACATGGATCTCAGTATATAATGAGTGGAAGTTTTTTGGTTTTTGTTTTTTTCTGAGAGAACGAGAGAGCAGTCTCTCAGATATAGGGGCAGAGAGAGAATCTTAAGCAGCCTCCATGCCCATCACCACAACCCTGGGATCATGACCTGAGCCCAGTTGGACGCTTAACCAAGTGAGCTACCCAGGCGCCCCATGAGTGAAAGTTTTATATGAAAAGGCAATTGGTCTATTGCAGAGACATAAGTTTGCTTTACCTTGGACCATACTACCAAGTGCCACACCACAAACATAAATAAACCAGCCAACAACCTGGATTCTGGTATTCTAAGTTGGCATTGCTTTTCATTTAGATCTGGAAAAAAATTTTAATTCCTGAAAAGGTTGTAAACATTGATATAGAAAGCTTAAAAAGGTATAAAAATTAGAACCTTGTAAAGATGTAAAAGTAAGAATTAAAGCAAAGTTTCATTCGTGGTATTAACACTTTTGCTACCAGTATGATTCTAAGGTATTGAACAGTTATGGAATCGTTGAGTCACTATGTTTGCGTATGTTTTATTTGCTATTTAGGGTATTTGAAGTATTCAAAAGAATCAGTCACGATGAAATGCTAATTGCCATTTAAATTGTTTAAAGGAATTTAATTAATCAACTTTACAGTTAATAACTAAATGTCCACAAAAATCAATCTTCCAAGTTTTGCTTTTTAGTTATGTGGATTTAATGAATTAAGCATTGAGTAAAAGGAATCATTACATTGAACCAAAATGACTCCTGAGATGTCATTATAAAACAATTTTATTTTTGTCCTTTGCTGTTTTTTTTAAAATCTCTTCTATAGGGCTAGTTCTTTTGTCTCTGTTGAAAACAGGGGCCAAGTCTGTGGTTCTTCAACTTGTGGTTGCCTTAAGTTCACAGTGCCTAGTTAATAATTAAAATGTCCATTCCCATGTACTAACCAAAATTCTGAACTTAAATTTGAGATTTCTACCTATTCCTAACTTGAGCTAGCTGCGGGCTGGAATCCTACAATTAGGAAAAGATGTGGCTGGTTGGCTCTCTAGCACTTCCATTTTTCATTTCCATCATCTCCATCTCCTTCCCCTGATCTAGCTAACTGTATTTGTGTCCACTTAGTAGTCAGGGTATAGGAAGGGAGGAGAAGAATGAAGGGGGAAGAGTTCTTAACTAACTCGTACTATTATTAGCTGGTACCATGCTCTCTGAGACTATTAGAAAATTAAAATGGATTCCTTCCCTTTACTTTAGAAACTGTTCCCTCGCCCAATTATGTTCATTCAGGAAATCTTACCTAAGTTGTGCCAAGTGCATCTCTGTTTTGGATAGTTGTTCACTGCTTTCTCAGCCCTTTAAAATTTCTTGATACCTTCACTGTCAACTACTATGTGATTCTTTTGGGTGGGACTTGAGATGACCCCAAGCTAGGTCTCTTGTGTATGTCCCCCACATCTGGTCCATGGAAAGTAAGCATGCATTCTTTGCACTGAATCTGGATGTATGAGCCAGTGCCATCTCTTTTAGTCGATTGTCAAAACAGCAAGCTGCCTTCTCTGTCACCCTTTAGATTTCTTAAGTGTGAGGCAGATGCTTGCCCATTGTGTCTCTAAACTGGGTGTCACACCTGTAACGCTGTCCCAGTGGTCTTCACCCATTATTCTCAATACCCCTGCCAAGTGATGGATGGGTCTTGTAGCACAGCTCTTGCGAGAGAACTCTCCCTCCAAATTCTCTTCAAATATGTAAATCTTAATCTGTTTAAATCCTTCTAGTGAACTTGTGGTTAAACCACATGTGAATAGTTTCCAGAAACCGCCGTTTTGAATTCTGTAAATGGTCTAGTGCCTCCTATGGAATGTAGAACCTATTATGTTATTTGGCTTCTGCCAAACTCTGGTTTTAATATGTAGTAATTAATATAAAGTACAAATTTGGTGAGTGTTCTCCCTGCATACAATCTCATCTTCATCAGAGACTCTTAGAACATTTGTAAAGATCTGAGTTAAAGGACACTTTGGATACCACAAACATCTGTCAATAGCCACATAAACTGGATGGATTTCGGAAATGAGAACTATAGTTAAGATTAGGGAACATCAAGCAATTTAAAAGCTCTACTTAGTGAGCAGTGCTTGAGTAAGACTTTTTCCTAATGTTCCATTAGCATGGTCTTTTATGTTTCCAATTAAGTTATTAGTGCTGGGAGATCAAGTCAGAGATACTTACGGACCTTTCATTGGTGGGGAGATCATAGGTCTTGGTTGTTAATTAACAGCACAGGAGTACTCTTGTCTCCTTAGGTCTGTAATGGAAATCTCGGCTTGAAGCCTTAGCACCTTTACTATTAGAAAGGAAGCCTGAGGTATCAGGTGATTTTTTTTTTCAATATTCAAAAGCATTTATGGGCACCAAGTAGATTTTTTTCCTTGAGGATGACATTAAGTCAGTGTTTAATAACCTTTATTTCAGAATCACCATGGCTTTTTTAATTAAAATGAAAATTTTTAGTCCTTACCCCACACAAATATGATTCAGAACTCTGATGGGCCCCAGGTGTAAGCATTTTAAATAAGGATTGCAGTGGGTCTAAGAAACACACTTTGACCTAGAATTCTTCTTTCATGGACAGTCCATCAATCTCAAGAGTTTAGACAAACCACCTCCCATTCCCCTGGTCACAAGTACATGAGATAGACTGAAAAATATCCTCTACTTGGTCAATA